CGCTCACGAGGGCCTGCGGGCCCGGGACGGACGGGCGCGGTTTGCTTCCCGCGCTGCGAACTAACTTCCACCAGCAGCGAAGACCAGGGCCACACGCAGTCTAAGCCAACGCAGTCTTCTTCCTTGTCGTCCTTGAGGTGACTGCAGCCCACGGTAATCGGTGAGCAGCGACCTGTTTCTGCGGCAGCAAGCGCAGCCAGGATCGCTTGGGACGACAGGAACCCAGGCTCAAAGCCCGACAGCAGTGCCGACGGGCAACTGTCTGGCTCTAGCTGTGAAGTACGAGTTCGGTACCAAAGTCGCTCACTCACAGGCACACGCGGTGCGCTGCAGCCGCGGAGCCCGAGCTAGCTGGCGCTTCCCCGGCCGCAGCCTGCATCCCTCCTCTGCCCGCTTTGAAACTACTGCTCCGAGTGCAGCGCTGTCACAGAAACGGCGGCGGGGACCCAGGAGGCGGAGCAGGGAAGGAAGCCGTTCTCACGGACACGCGCCGCGCGAGGCCAGCTCGCCCCGCAACGCCCGCCTTGTTGTGGCATCTCCGCAAAACCAGCCGCTAATGCCTGCTGGATTTCAATGTTTTCAAGTGTTATAAACAGCACATGAGTTTGTAAGTCCTCAAAGCTAAAGTGTGTTTTAAGTCCTTGAGAGCGACAGTCTATTTTCCGGCGACATCCAGCTTTCCGGGCCTCCTCCGGGCCGAGTCCCGCCCGCCAGCTGCCCACCTCTCCCGTTCTTTCTCACCAGTTCTTGTCCTGCCCGGGGCCCCGTCTTTACCCACGTCCCCACTGCACCCCTCGACAACCCCCAGGGTCTTCCTCCAGCCCCTGCTCCCTGCAGGGCCGCGGCTCCTCCACAGGCGGGCGCGCGCCCTCTACCACCCGGACCAGATCCAAGCCCCGCTTTCGACTTCACGCGTCCCTTGCCACATGAACGAATCGGGGCGTTGTGCAGATGGCGGACTGTGCCTCCTACTTCTGCCCGGATCCAGCCGGCATCTTCCTGGTCCCCGCAGCCATCAGTCTCGGTGGGGACTGCTGTGATTTGCATACCGCCTGGGCTTAGGAAGTCTAGTTGACCACATCCCTTCTTTGCAACAAGAATCCCTCGGTATCGCTGCGTTATGTTCGGAACGAAGCCCCAACCCTTCACCTGACTTACGCAGCCCCACCCTGCCCGTGCCCCTCGCCACCCCTCTGCACCCGGCTCTGACCGGCTCCGGCTGTGGCAGCGGCTGCGCTGCTCCATCTCACCTGCGCTGCAGCCTCCCGACACGCCCCCATCCGTCTCCAGGTCGCCAGCTCCTCCTCCTCGGGCCACCTGGGGTGTGTGCGTCTGTGCTCGGAGGGACTGTCCTGCACAGAGCCTGGCCTTTTCTTTTTTCCAAGTTGCTGTCCAAAGGGGCCTGGGCCACAGCGAGTGCTCAGGAGCGTTTGACAGAAGAGTGAGCACCAGGCAGGTCTCAGGCCAGCGTGTCCTTACAGCTCTAGGAGCAGAGTACTAGCCCCGAGCTGGCACCACACTCGGCAAATCTCAGTTTACCAAATTAAAATCCAGTTGTTTGGTGGCTCCTCAAAATGTCAAACAAGGACAAGCCTGTAATCCTACCACTAACTGAGGCTGAGACAGGAAGATTGCAAATTGGAGTCCTACCAGGGCAACTTAGTGAGACCCAGTCTTAAAAAATTTAAAAAGGAAAACATGGAAACAAAGCTTTTGTAAATGGCGAGGGGAGGAGGGGTTGAAGGGAGAGTAGGGGGAAAAGTAAACAAGTTGTATCATGTACAAATTCTCTATGATGAATGTGATCACTATATATATCTAAAATGTACCAATAAAATCTATTTAAAACTTAAAAAATTTAAGTCGGGTGTGGTAGCGCACGATTGTAATCCCAGCACTCAGGAGGCTGTGGCAGGAGGATCATTTCGAGTGCAAGACCAGCCTGGGCTACAAAGTGAGCTCAAGGTCAGCCTGAACTGCATAAGGAGACCTTGTCTCAAAAAGACCAAAAAAAAAAAAAAAAAAAAAAAAAGCTAAACATACTATTATCCTATGGCCCAGTCACTTTACTTCTAGGTACACAAACCAAAGAATGCAAAGCAGGGACTCAAGCAGGTGTTTATAGTAAAGAAGTCATATTATTCCCAAGACCCAGCTGGTGGATATCTGTCCATCGACAGATGAGCAACAAGATACACATCCTACCCACACAGCTGAATTTTATTTAGCCTCAGAAAGGATGGTGGGTGGGTGTGTGGTGCTGGGGACCAAACCCAGGGCCAGGTACGTACCTGGAAGTGTGCTACCACTCAGCGACACCCCAGCCTCCAGCAGGACTACACTGCCTGGCACACCAGTGGGCTTGAAAACAGTATGTTAAGGAAAAGCCAGGTATAAAAGGCAAATACTGTATGATCTCACATATAATTAAAATTGCAGATTGTATGTATATTTTATCTCAGTAGAAAAGGTTTCACCAAATCGATGTGAAACAACCTGTGGGGGTCAAGAAAGCCCGTGCCCAGCACAGTGAGGGGCTTTGGTGAGGGGACGTACAGCCCGATGACAGCAAGGCTGTGCACACCAGAGATGAGGGCGCTCTGGAGTGCACATGGAGTATTCACTTCAGATCTGCTTCCCAGAAATCTCTGAGACATAAAGGGAGCTGGAGGGGCTCGGGGGGACCCATGAGCTGCATGGCATCGTGGGCTGGCGGGCGGTCCTTGGAGGCCTCTCCTTTCTGCCTGGGCCCCTCAGGGGGCACCCGGGAGGACCACTGAGTGCCGAGGACCATGACTCTCGCACCGCGTCCCAGCTGGCCGAGGCAGGTGCCCCAGAGCCCCCGCAGCTCTCTCCCCAGGGTGCGAGGCAGCAGTGGGGCTGCCCGCAGTGCACAGATAGGGTTAGGACAGTTAGGACAGGTATGATTCAGTCACAGAAATCATGCATACTGATGGAAAACACGTCCACATTTTCCGTCTTACAGAAATGACTCATCCTGCATCTGTGTTATGGGAGAAAGGGTAATTTTTCTATCCCAGGGCACACCTGACATGGAAGTATCTGGCAGGAGGTCAGAATCCTACAGAAGGGTGAGTGCTGGTCACTCAGGTGTCTTTTATTAGGTTATGAACGCTGACACATGACAGGTTCCTTGGAAAGTCCCTGAAAATTACTAGGGCCACCCCAGCTCGTTTCGTAAAGAGCAGCAGAACGGCAGTGGAGCTCTTGGTTTCTCTGCCAGCCTGGTGCACCCGAAACGCCGAGTATCGGGTGTTCCTAGTAGTTTGCTGAATCTGCTGCCACAAACAGCTCCTGCTCCAGGGTTTCTTCTCCTTTAAATGAGATGAGGTCTCACTGTGCCAGCCTGTCCGTGGGCCCCAGGCCTGCGGCACTCTGTCCTCTACCCACAGCACCCGGGAGCCTGGGAGCCCGCAGGGCAGGCGCTGGAGGGCGTCACAGTCTTGACGCACTTGTCTCCAGGCTTACATTTTTGGTAAAATGTGGGGTTTTTGGTGCTGGGAACCGAACCCAAGGCCACGAGCTGAGCACGTGCTTGTCCAGGGAGCCACACTCAGTTCTGTCCCCTACGGGGCACATTAGGCAGTGCAGTGCTGACAGCAGTTTTCTTGGATAAAAAAACTTCTAAACAGAAAGTTCAAAATATTCAATTTCTTAGTTCAAAAGCTATGGATATGTTTGTGAGGCATCTATGTTTCCTGTAAAGAAAAACTGCCATAAAAATTTAAGTTTCCATTAACAGTTTTGTGAGCTTTTATTTCTAAGGTACTGTTTCTATTTAGGTAAGTAGCTTAGACTCTTACTGCCTGTAAGGTTTTAAAATTTGTTGTCAATTCTGTAATTTTACAAGAATAGGAGAAGCTAGGCTGTTGCAGTTTGGAGTAAGCTGAATGGTACATCTGTCTCCACTCCAGCTGAGCAGCTTTAACTCTGAGTCAGTGCTTGTTCCTACTAAAGCTACTGCACAGTGATCTTACTCATTAAAACAGGGTCTGGAGAAGTGGTCCAGGCTGGCCTCGAACTCACAGCAATCCTCCTGCCTTCGCCTCCCAAGTGCTGGGATTACATGTGTGCCACCACACCTGGCTAAGTGTCCCAGTTTAGAGATTTTTAAAAAATGTGTCAATCTCAACTACTTCTTATGCAAGGTTTACTTCTTTAAGATTTTATACAAATTCATTTTACCTCAAGAATGATAAAGGAACAATGCTGTACATACAGGAGAGAGTTGTTCAGTGAGGACTAATTCACATGTTTAAGCATAGCATTTTAGGAAGTTAAAATCATTTTCTACCAAGTAAGGGAAAGAATGAAAACAACAGCCAGCGTACTGCTGCTGCCTGGCTCTCATTCTAGTCCTGGGAAACATCAGGACAAGGAGAGAGCTGCTGCAACACACGTCCAGAGCTAAATAAAACATGGAAGAAAATACACACATATTAAAGAATGAAAATTATTTTTTCAAGACAGGGTCTTGCTATGTAGTTCAGGCAGGCCCTGAACTCACTCTGTAGCCCAATCTGGCCTCACACTCATGGCGACCATCCTGTCGCAGCCTCCCAAGTGCTGGGATTAGAGGTGTATGCCACCATACCCGGCTAATTTAATTTTAACAAGGCAAAGAGATTGACTTTGACATGTGGTTGTAGTGGGTTAATCTTGAGTGCTTCTTCTAGTTCCACCTGGAAAACAAAACAAAACAAAAAACAAACCAAAACCAAAACCAAACCCCGCAAGGCTTTTTCTCTGCTTCCCAATAGTACAGCGATAGCGGCTGACACCTGTGATGTTACTGCCTCGTCTCTGGGGACTGGGACTGTGATGGGGGTGGAGGTGGTGGGTGACATGGGCTGTGGGGTGTAGCTCTGAGTCTTTCAACCTCCAGAGAGAGAGAAGACAGAGAGTGGGTGAGAAAGGGAGAAAGGAGAGAAGATAGAAAGAATAAAGAAGAATAAAAACTAATTTTCCAGCCAGGGAAATACTTAAAAAACCTTTTATGTCAAAGTCAGGATTTCACAACATGATACACTAATGCAAAATCCAGTAGCACCTGTAAGATTTGTAAATGCTGCCATCACTTAAATGTTCTTAAATATCTGTGAAAGACTGAAGGGAAAAAGATGAAGTACATTCTCCAGAGAACAACAAATGTATTTCAAAATAAAAACTGTATTTTTGTTTTTCTTTTTTCCAGCTTTTGTTTCTGTACAAGAATTCATAGTTATCATCAGATAATAACTTAGACACATCGGCTCAGTCTCCACTGTTGTCCTCCACAGTCACCGAGAGTCTGCGCATTCCGGCCACCGTCCCCAACGCTGCGTTCTGAGGAACAGACCACCGCACCTGATCGAGAGCTAGAGATATATGTATATATATATAAATATATATATATAGTACTTGTCTCTGGGAAAAATCAGAATTTTAATATGCAAACATTTATTTATAATACAGAAATGGAAAATCTACAGTAGGCACACAACCGAATTATGACTCGTAGGCAATGCTTTCCAGATATGGTCCTACTGCGAATGTGAGTTTAAAATAGTCTTGTAAGAAGGATTTATTTATATGTGCACTTGTGTCACCTTATCCCAAATACTGTACATGTCTATGGACAATCTGGGACTTTGAAGGTGCAGCCCTCAAGAAGTTGTTAAGTCACTAAAAAGAAACAGTTAGGCTCTATTGGACAAGGAAAACACTCACAAAATTTCCAATTTTAAATTTCTTATCAGTAGGAAAATATTAAAAATAATTTTCTGTATATACATATGGGTATATGTATATATTGAATTACATATATGTCTCACATTATCAATACAATTCAAGTGGAAACATTTTGGTGAGTTATTTTCCCATTAAATGACCACTATGTCAAAAATTTTAAAATATTTTATTACATCATTAAAATAAATCACTGACCATTTCAACAGCTTACACTGTTTTTTTTTTTTTAAAAGATTTTTAAAAAACTCTTCATAACTAAATTCCCTGACCCCTAGCTAGTTCCCTATTTAAATGAAAACCTGGTGCTCTGTCACTCAGAGACTCGTGGATAAAATCACATCTACTTCAAAATTCTATCCATCAAATAAACTTTATTACCTGATTTATCAGAGAAATACCTCCGCTCTGAGCATGTGTATCCAATTAATCTCCCTATGGTAATAGGTGAGGAAAATCCCTAAGATAGATGGAGGCAGCTTACAGGACGCTGGAGCACACGTAATACGGGATGACTAAGGGTCTGAGAGAAACTGTTCAGACACCTGAAAGCTCATTCTAGAAACTAAGTTTAGAAACAAACTATTTTTCACTCTAATATAAATCAATATGTATGTATTTATGTACATACACATACATATAAAACAAAATTCTCTAATGCTGAGTAGCTATGAGTGAAAAATGGTTACAAATTGCTTAATTTGCTTAATTTTGTACTTAACAATTCGATCAATTTGGGGTACAAACAAAAAGTCAGTGCATTTATTGACTCTATAGAGCCAGACACTCAAGCATACACTTTAAGAAGAACAACCTCCTCACCATGACAGGCATTGTACAGCAAGAATATATGCATTCTGACGCATTTCCTACTCATATGCAGACCAGACAGCACTTGGCTTACTTTTAAAATCGCTTCATAAAAGAAATGTATCATATAAAGAAATGCATGTTTGCTAAAAGTCTTTTAAAATTACATCAAAACATTAAAACCTGCTCGCTGAGAAGAGCCTGTTAATGTAGCTCCGTGTGGAAATGCTAGGTAACAGTTCAGTATATTGCCGTGTGAGGTTTGAGGAAGGGTGTGGCTGACGTGAAGGCCCAGAGCACAAGACCTGTCTCCCCTGCCATGGTCACCGTTTAGACACAGTCCTCTGATCGGCTGTTACGTAAAGGGATCCCCTTGAAAATAGTTCTACACCTTAAAATTACCTATAATAAATAGTTCCCCAATAACCACTATTATTTTTAAATTGAAATGCATTGATCATTCAGAAAAGATTTCTTGCAAAATATATAAACAAAAGTAACTGCATATTTTTTGTAAATATACTTAACATTGCTACACCAGCCCGTTAATGACAGGCTACTGTATTTCAGTTCTGTGTGTCAAATTTATTAGAAATTTAAAAACAAAAATTTCTGAGGGACTCAGCTGCCTTTGTTAGTTGGCTTTAAAATGTGTAATAAAACAGGAGACAGTATATTCTCATAAACACATGGAATCAATAAGGAAAAGTAAAGTATACAACAGACAAGATTAGAGAACACCAGAGTGTACCAGAGTAGTCACCAGAGTGAAAAATCTTCCAGTACAAAAAAGGGAAGAACTCTATACACCCAGTTATAGTGTGTTTCAATAAAGATGCAGCTCTCTCTCACTCCTGGCAAGAATTAACTGGTAATGGCACTGCTTCTCAGCAGTGCAAAATATCCTGAGAAATTATTCGGATTACAACAAAAGACAGGGCTTTCATCACTAAGTTTTTGCACAAATCACAGCTCTAGATATCATAATAAATTAATTTAAAAAGCAGATAATCTTCACTATGTTGAACACAAAAGGGGATGTGACCCAGACATTGTTAATTCTCCCACTGGCTAATATCAGGGGAAAAAAAAAAAAAGATTGCATTAAGTGTCTATTTGTAACTTTCTAGTTAACTATGGCCAATAATATACATGGAGGTAATTTGTAGTTCAAGTTTTTCATTTTTTTACCCAACTAGCTACAAGCTAAATTCTAAAATTTACACTGAAATATACAATTCCAATTTTCAAAAGATCCTCCTCCTGGAGGAATGATATTTAATTTTTTTTGTGCAATCTTGATGCAGAGCCCAAATAGTCCTATGAAGAGAGACAGAGTATCTTTTAATCAATTGGCACTGAAATTTGATTTTCCTTAGCTGCATTCTAGTAGCTTGGCCAAGTTATCCCGTAACTCTGTTAGTTCAAATATCTTCCCATCCAGAATTTCCAAGAGCGTCTTCAGGTTATTGCGAAAAGCTTCCTGTTCGCTCTGACTCTTCTCCAGACGCTGCTCCAAGTCAGACAGTTGTCCCTCCAGATCTTTGTTCCGAATTTCCACCTCCTTCAGAAGCAAAAGTAAAATGCATGCATATATGTCAGTTCACTGCCTAGAAAACAGCATCACTTGTTATTTCCGCACATCATGTAACAAGCCTGAAAATCAAGATGAATTTCTGAAGCCCAACTTAATGCTATTTAAGGAGGTTTCAGATAGGCCCTCAGAGTGTATGGTTTTACTGACTCGATTCTTGTGAATCTATTTACCCAACAAAAAGTTATGACTCATTCCTTCAAGCCAAGCAACATTTTCAGACAGGCTTCCAAGCCCAGACAGGCCTGAAGACCCACTGGGGAACTATTCCCATCTCATCTTCCTACCACTTACCTACTCGGGTTAACAAACAGGAGGCAGCAGGGCAGCCTGCCAGCAAGCTCAGGTGAAAGCAAGTGGAGAGAAAGAAATGAAAACTCTCTCCTTACCAGCAGCTCCGGCAAACATTAATGAGCACCACGCTCTAACCAACTGAGCTCACCGGCCCACTGGCAAACCCTCAGAGAAGAAAGCAGCTCTCTCAAATGAGCTTGCAGCATTCTCTAAACACGTGGCCTTGATATTCAATGAATGCATGTTGTTAAGAACACAGTCCAGCTGCTAAAAACTGTAGTGGAGGTATATAATAATCGTACATAATATGCAGAAGGGAAGCGAGAGCTCATGATAACAAAAGACCTTAAAACATTTGAAACAGATGGAACTGGATAACCAAAAGTTATCCAGAAGTTACGACTTTTTAAGAAATGTTTCTAAGGATGAAAAATGAGTGGCAAAAATATAAACTGAGCTAACAATATTTTTCAGTTAAAAAAATGAAATTAAAAATATGGCAGAGAATCAACTCTTACACTTTAACCAAACTCACATAGGTAACAAATTATAAGTTGTATGTCCTTTCTAGAAAGCTCATTTTTATATCTGAGAGGAATTAACTGACAAAAATTATATTCAAATATGTAAACTATATGGGACAATGAAAATATTGGTGTTATACAATGTGAATCAGCCACAGAAAATAAGATGCTTCAAATTTAATACATTTAGATATGTCTATTAAGTATAGAGGACAGTGGAAATTCAAAGAATGCTACTGAAGGCTGAGCTGGTAACAGGTCAGTGACAAGGACAGCACAGGGAGCAGGGCCCTCTGCATCTGGGCAGACTGTGTGTGTGGACGAAGGGGAGTCTGAGCACAAAGGGAACACAGCTGTGAGTTGGTGTTAGGGTGCTTTCCCACCAAAATTCTCAAAATATCTTCAAAAATTGAGGTTTTGAGAAAAGTAATTTAAAAACTGGTTTGAACACATTTAAGAGGGTAACAGCTGATTCACTATTCTGAGGATAACTACATGCCTAGCTGTTATGGTTGATACACTGTGTCAACTTGGGGAATCTAGAGGTTTGGCTAAGTGACTCAGCAGGAAGCCAGGATACTTACTTTGTATACATCCTGAGCCTGTGGAAGAGGAGGGCATGGAGATTATGTGAGAGCTACAGGCCCCTTAGGTGGGGGTAGCCTGTTTACAAAGTAAGGCAGGGAAAGAAGCTGCTTGCCGCCATTCCTCCCTTTTTGCTCTGGCTGCTTTGCTGTTTGGCTGCCATTCCCCCCTTTGCTCTTGTTGCTTTGCTACCTTCTGCCTCGGAGCCAGCCAAGTATGGACTGAAACCTCCACAGACTGTAAGCTAAATAAACCTTTCCTTCTTTCATTTTGGGCATTGGGTATTTTGTCTCAGCACCGAGAGAAAAGTAACCAAGACACTAGCTAAGGGTAATTATGAGCAACACATGAGCAGGGGTGCCACGTGAGATGCCACATGAGATGTGTGAGCATGCAAAGATTTAAGAAGGGACTGGAACAGCTATGGTGACTGATAAATGAAGAGCTTAGGAATCCGACTTCATCTTGAGAATTTACTGATATCTTAAACCACACATTTTTCTAATCTCCTTTGTCTGAATAATCTGCCAGGTGAAGATAAGTAAACTGAAAACAGAATCTGAAATTAATAAAATATTTATAAATTTTAGCTGTAAACTGTTAGGAAAAAACAGGCCCTTCCATCAGATGTACACACTCACGCAGGACTGCGCTGCATGCCTTGCTGCTGCTTCAACAAACTCACCAGTCGGGCGTTCCCACGCTACACAAGCACAGCAGACCCTCCCCGACCCCGAAACCTCCCTTTCTCCATGCCCATCGACGCTACAGCCTACAGCTTTCAGTGGGACCAGGCAAAAGGGAGTCCCCACAGCCACTGAACTGCACAGTGAACCAGGAGTGAGTCTCCTCCAAGCCGTGTCTGCACAGGTTCCACTATTTAGGTAACAAAAGGGGTCCAGAGCAATGCGAACGTGCGCATGTTTCCAGGCAGAAAGAACCTGTTCCTAGAGCAGGAGCAGACAATCTAGTGAACAGGGGCCAGCCAGAGGAGACCAAAGCCATGGCCACATCCCGGTTTCTAACCTGAGCCCGCACCTTCCAGTCCTCTTTCTGCCCTTCTCCCTGTAAACTCAGGCTTCTAATTGCTCATTTTTGTCTTTTTTTTGGTACCAGGAATTGAACTCGGGACCTTGTACTTTGCCAGGCAGGCATCTGTGCCACTGAGCTATGTCCCTGGCCCTCATTTTTGTCTAAGAACTTCTTTACCTTCACGATGTAAGACAGGCCAGTGGCACCTGGAGGCATGGTTCAGACTCAATAAATCCTGCAGGGCAGAACAACTTAATCTCTTTTGAGTGATTTGAAGGGCAAAAATTGAAAGGGTAAAATTTTACTGGGCAGAAAGTCATATTCCATATCTGTTAGATTAAGAGTATTATGCAGTTATGACTACAGTCAAGGAACCAGATCAACTTGATTTTTTCTAAATTTGAATCCTGGAACTTTTAGTCTAAGTAAAAGCTACCAAAAAACCTCTATCTTTATTGACATCTAATTCATTTAAGTTCTTATCAATATGATTCACATCTTAAATGCCTCAGGGATTATTAATTGCTTCATTAGATTATTAATCTTCAAATATAATAGTATTATAGACAGCTGAGTTTGGGAAAAACAAGGTGGTGAGATAGGGCTGGGCCCTTGAGAGAGTAGACAGAGGAAATGAAAACTCATTACAACTGTGGCTGGAGGCTCATCTGCTGGAAGCCAGGCCTCAAGATACAGACGGGATGACCAGGCCTCTGTACCTCGCTGGGGACAAAATAAACAGCAACACTGGGTCTAATGATGTCTTGACAGCTAACCAAGACCCAGACCCATCCCTTCCTGAAAAGCTCTGTTCTTCCCATGCCACAGGTGCTACGTGACTTGCTTCCCCAAATTGGATCAGCATCACTAAGTGACTATACTTATAACCTTTTTGGATGATTACAGCTGTAACCCACGTGGTACCCATGTGGCTGTGCTCTATAAACTTCCCGAGAGATGGGGTCCTTGGCAGCCCACTGGGGACCTCTTCTGTCCCTCAAGAGCTTCATCTCTCCGCCTCGGTAAGTACTTCCTACTATTAACCACCGTGGCTCCTTAGAGTTCACCCTTTGATTTTGGGGAACACAGACTTAGAATATGAGACATCTGGCAGGTTGGGAGTTAAGACTACTTCCCTTGTATCACCTGGAGGTCCTATATCATTCCTGTAGCAACAGGACACATGAGTCATCAAGGTAAGTATTAATACATCATCATTTTTACCTAGAAAAGAGGGTAAAAGACACATACACACTTGACAAAGAACTGCTCAACAATTAGTTACTGAACATCTTCCATTACTAGACACTGAAGATAAAGCAGTACAATAATTCCTGTTTTATTTAATTTAATTTATTTATTTTTCTGTCCTTTTGAGACAGGGTCTTGCTATGCAGTTCAGGCTGGCCTTGAGCTCACTTTGTAGCCCAGGCTGGTCTTGAACTTGCAACTATCCTCCTGTCTCAGCCTCCTGAGTGCTGGGATTACAGGCATGTGCCACCACGCTCGGCTGATAATTCCTGTTTTAATACAGGAATTTACCTTTAGAAGGAAGGCAATAAAGAAGTAAACCAAAAAAATTTCTGAATAATAAGGTAATAAACCGGGCGTGGTGACCCATGCTTGTAATGCCAGCACTTGGGAGGCTGAGGCAGGAGGATTGCTGCGAGTTCGAGGCCAGCCTGGGCTATAAAGTGAGCTCAAGGCCAGCCTGAACATATTGAGACCCTGTCTCAAAAAACAACAACACTTTTTTTTACAAAACAAAATAAGACAATAATAAGGTAATAATGACTGTGTACACTGAAATCTACCAATCATCCTCCCCAGACTGTGTCAGCAAATAACAAGAATAAAACCTGCAAATTCCATAAGTTCATGTAAGTAGGAGACAGAGACAGCACTAACCTGCGATAGCCACAAGAGGAAGACCCCTGTGAGTCCTAAAACACTGAAGGCAAGCAGATTCTAAGAAAGTACACACAACGTGGAGAGGCAATGGGGAAAAGGCAGAGGGCGCGCCTGAGGCGTGGGTGCTTGGGGGAGAGAAAAGCCTTTTGGGTCACATTAACAAAGGGGAAGAGAAGCAACGAAATGTAAGATCTGGTATGACAAAAAAACTCGTTTTTGGAGATAGGGTCTCGCTATGTAGTGCAGGCTAGCCTCGGACTCATGGTGATCCTCCTGCCCAAGGCTTAAACTGAAACACATAAGAACTCAGGAATGTACAGGATGAGCACCAACAAGAGGTCAAGCTTCCTCCAGCAAGCGAGTACTCTGGAAAGGAGGGGGCCTCTAGGAGGCATGCGGGCTCCTCTCCTCAAGTGGGAGTCAGCCTGGTAACAGAAGCTTTGCCCTGCTCCAGGCATGCACACTGCAGCAGCAACTGGGTGCAGTCTTGAGCAGGACACAGATCTCAGCAAAGGAGCCAGCTGGTGCTGATCTTGACTTCCCAGCCTCCAAGACTGTGAGAAATACATTCTGTTGTTTATAAATTAACCCCCTGAAAGTATTCTGCTACAGCAGCATGATGGA